TTGGATTTGCTATCCTCCTGCCTCAGCCTTCTGAGAAGCTGGGATTATAGGCCTAGTCTCTCTGGCCTTTTCTAAGTAATATTTAATATTCTTCATCAAGATTTTTTAAAAACTGAGACTTTTCCTAAATAATTAAATTTTTCTCTGCGAAAGTATTCAAAACCAAAGATAATGATCCAGAAAGACAATTTATTTCACTTTTGACATTCCTTGATTGCATATGTGATTATGGATATGGATGGAGATATATAAAACGGGATCCTTTCCCTTTGATCAACTCTCTCTATATACATCTATATATCAGGAATAGAACCTAAGGGCGTTTAACCACTGAGCCACATCCGCAGCCCTTTTTTCTTTTTTCTTTTGAGATAAGGTCTTGCTAGATTACTTATGACCTTGCTAAATTGCTGAGGCTGGCTTTGAACTTGCAATTCTCCTGCCTCAGCCTTCTGAGCCACTGGGGTTACAGTCATGGGCCACCATGTTTGGCCATATGGGATATTTTTTTGGATCACCAAAGGATTCTAATCATTAGACAGCAATCAACCTGCAGTTTATGAAAAGACATGCAAACATTGTGAACTCTAGTGAACAGAGTAAATTATGTCCATATTGATTGCAATATCTCTTCAAGTTCTTTGAGAATAGGATAAATATGAATATAGCTATCTTATTGAAGAAAGAGGATTTTTAGATAAAATGCCTAGGAATAAAACTGTAAAATGGGTCAATCCAATGTGGTAAACCTGAAAGTATATTGAAATAGATCAATGTATAGGGTCAGAAAATTGGTACAATGGATATAAAATTGGTGGATGACTGTCATAATAAGCAGGTTAATGTTACCTCTATATTAGTAAAGTCAATTCTATTTTTGCTAAATAACCTCTCCCAGAAGAAAATTCTGACAGTTGTCTTTCTCTTTTCAAAGTTAATTCTAACCCATTTAAAAACATACTATAAAAAACTTAATCCCACTGGCATTATTCCTTTATATGCATTAAACAACTACCAACCGTGAAGAAGGACACTAAGTAGAAGGGATAAAGTCATGAACAGAATGGATCTGGTTCTGACAACAGTGAAATTTACTGTAGTAAAAACAGACAATTTTTTTAAAATTGCAGACATAGACTTAACTATGATTTTGATGGGCTACAGAGGAAAATTGCTAGATGCTGTGAGAAGGCAAGACCTTGTTTAGTTCAGCAGACTAAACATCTGCATCTCGAGAGCATTTATCAAATTACTGGGTCTCTTGAAACATGGGTCTTAGAAACTCTGTGCCTTTCCTTGGATTTGCACTGTTTGAATTGTAGTTTGCTAGGCATGAAGCCATGATTGACCTATTGGTCAGTACTATCTTGTTTGTAAATGAGAATTCCACAATAGATGCAAATAGCCAATGTGGTAGATAACAGAGAACCTGATCTCTTGAAGACTATTATGACTTGCATTGAACTATCTTAACTCCAATCTTTGGGGTAACCAAATTTCTACATACAGAGTCTTACTTGATGTATTCCCACATTCTTTGAGCATTTTCAGTCTGAGTGGAGTGCTACTATTGTATTCTAGTATGTTCCCTGAGGATAGATAGCCTTAGCACCTTGCATTATTTCTGCTCCAAAGTTAACATCTTGAGCAAGAAAAGCTTGGGAAATTCTTTTTTGCTGTCTAAGGTCTTCCACCACAAGGCAGAATATCATGTGGGGAGGGTGTGGTAGAGGAAAGAGGCTTAAGACATCACTCTGAGAAGCAGACAGTTTCCACTCACCTACTACAAAATATGTACCCCTAAGGTATGTCCCCAGTGACCCACTTCCTTTGCTCACACCCTACCTAGCTACAGTTACCATCCTGTTAATCCCTATTAGTGAATTAGTTCACTGATTGGGTTAAAGTTCTCATAGCCCAGTCATTCACCCTTTATACTTTCTTGCATAGTTTCACACATGAGGTTTTGGGGACACCTCAAATCTAAACCATAACAATACTCACATTGACTATTTATATTTGGACTTATTCCTAGGCTTTTAATTAACTTTTTAAGTAAATTTTTTAGTGGCTTAGAAGATACCAATCTTTTAATTTGTCCCCAATCTGGCCAATTAGGAACTCCAGCTGCCTAAGTTTGAATAGGGGCCTACTGTTCCAGGTCTGCTATTCTCTTTCCTCCCCATGGATAGCCAATACTACTTCTCTGTGATTATTCCTTTGAATTAACTTCATTAATAATGACAAATTCAGGGGCTTTTTAAGGTCCCTCTAGAAGTCTGAATGCCTTTAGCCTTGTTTTGCTGTAAACAGACTTAGAAGTAATTGTTCCAAATGGTCCTGAAGAAATTATAAAATTTAATTGAAATATATAAGATAGACAAAAATGGAAGGTTTAGCTTTATTTCAATGTGTTGACCAAATATCAGGTAAATTCATAGCCTTATTACAAGTCTAAAAAAAGTAGTTTTATTGAAAAATTAACATATCACTATCAAAATAATCTGAAAAATTTTGAGAATTTAAGAGGTCATTTTGAAAAACAGAACACTAACAAATATTAATGCCTATTTTAGATAGGTCATATGATCTAAAGTATCCAAATAGAGAGATAAAGGAAACAGTATAACTGACTATAAAATCAATCACCTTACACATTTTCCAATGGAATAAAAAGCTTTCTATGAAAAGTAGGAGAAAATAGAAATTAATGTTTAGGATATCAACAAAGGGATCAAAACTTTTCAGTAGTAAAATTGAAATAGAAGTTACTTACTACCTCTTTAACTCACACATCCCTTATCTTGGAATACTATTTCTTTAAAAGGATAGAAAATTACCATAAAAAACAAATATGTTAATAGATTTGACTATGCAGACTATGAGTCCTTTGAGCCCAGAGCTGTGAGCTTTATCTCTTTTCCAAGTATGGTATTTTCTAGAATGCATTCAAGTAACACTTAATGGATGGATTCTAGTTGATCTTGTATACATGCTCTCCATCATTTGATGGTCGAACACTGATTCTTGAAGTCTTCCCACATGTTTGCTGCAACCTGATAGGTTATTCTCATTTGCCTTCTGGTCCCTGCCTGGTTTTAGAGATTGGCCACCTCTGCTTTGAGATTTTTGTAGAGGCATGCAAATGAGGACCTGCAGATCACCTACTGGGTCGGGCTTGATGAGGGTATTCAAGTGCATGTGAACGATGATACTGTGTTTCTGGCATAAATGACCGAGTTGTATTGGGCCTGGAGAAGAAGTTAGATAAAAGGAGCCTATCTTGAGGCTGTTGATGGTTAGGCTCATCCACCACTGCACTTCGGGCTCGACTGGAATCACCATGGGGTTTCATTTGCCTTTGTGGCTCCACAGGGCTCAGGTGTTCCACTTCGCTTGTGCCAATAGGTGGCAGCAGATTATTTCGACTCAGGGGTATTGGTGAGCGAGAGGAGAGCCAGTCAACTGCCAAAGGGACTTGTGATCCTCTGAGGATTTCTTCCACAGGTCTTGGTGTTCCAGTGCGTGAGTGGCTTGTGCTGATTGGATGAAGGGTACGTGGTGGGGGATTACGTCTCCTGGCAGACTGCACTTTATATATGACAGACATGATGTACTAAGCTCCAAGGCTTGGTTTGGCCAATTTCAGGTTGAAAAAATGGTACTGGACCCAGGCCTCATAAGTAGCTTGTCATCAAGATCTAGGAGCTTGTCAATTGGGTAGAGATTTCTTGGCTTTAGAGGCATCCCATGAATCAAGAGACCATTCGCATTTGGCTGATGACCACTTGCTTGACAGAGACTCATCAGATCCGAGGTGACAGATAGCACCTTGGACTGTGGCACTGGAGGTAACACCAAAGTATGTGGTTCACTCAGCACATAGAGACTTTCTGAATCTGGTCTGGTGACTGCAACATTACTCTCATCATCAGAAGCAAATCCTTCCCGGTAACTACGTGTCAATTGCTCCAAACAGCTCACAGTTTTGCTCCACACTTTGCGAAACACATAAGCAAGAATTTCCTCTTTCATGGAGTAAAATGGAGCAATGGGAGGGTACCCTAATTTCTGTTTCTTTGTAGCTGCTTCTGATTTATTTTCATGAAATCTCTCTTCCATATCTGTATTGTCGAAAGCTAGGTATTCCTCAACTATTCCTTCTGAGAAGATTATACAGTCTTCTTCTCTTTCCACAGCACACAAACCAGGGGATATTGCTGAATCTCTTTCTTGAGACAAGGCTGCTTCATGTGAAGCTGAAATAGCAGGTGGGGATCTAGGATATAATCCATAACCTTCACTTGGAGTAATTATCTGTTTACGCAGAATCCTGAGGTGAGGAAAGCTAGATGTCCACTGTTGGCACTCTTCTTGTAGACTCTTGGTATGCACACTTGACTTTTGCTCATATAAGAGCTCATCAATGGCTGTGAACATGGCCTGGACTGCTGAGGGCCATTGCCAAGTAGGAATGACGCATCAAAATTTCCTTGCCAGCGTACCCCATGTTAAATGGACTTGCCTTAGAAATTCCGCTGTGACATTGCATGTGTGTTTGAGAAAGGTGACCCTGCTCAAGGATGAGGGTGGATCCAGGTTTAGGGTGTATCCTGCAGGTTTTAGGAAGTATCCCGGTTTAAGACAATTTGGGTTTAAGGCGTTCCCAGTTTAAGACAAGTTTAGGGTGTTCCCAGTTTAAGACAATCTGGGTTTAGGGTGTTCCTGGTTTAAGACAATCTGGGTTTAGGGAAGTTCCAGGTTTAAGGTTATTGCTGCTGGGAATAGGGCGTTCCTGCTGCCTGAGTTCCTGTTGAGTTCTCTTGGAATTGAGAAAGTATTTGGGACATGAATTGTTCGGGCAGAACTTGGATATCCCCAGAACGTGTTTGTACAGGGCCGGTGTGA